ATGATTTTAATCAAAATTATATTTGATTTAGAAGATTAGTTTTTGATTAAAAATCGAATTATTGTTGATTTGAGAGATTTCAATCGATTATAATTCTGATTTTGTTGCACAAAAATTCGATTATAATCTTATATAATGAGGTATAATTTGACAATTTTTCACTGGGTATGATAGCACATAAATAAAGAGGTAGGAAAGACTTTTGTCCACGAGTGAATCTTATATTTGGATCCATTTTTCTATAAAAATTGTTTTTTCAAAAGAATTTGAGATTTTTTCACTGTTTTTTTGTCTGTTTCGCCGGAATTTTTTCGATACAACATGTGATTTCAATCGATCATTTCACCAACGAAACTAGTTTATCATTTCGCAACCGACTCTCAATACTGATCTATATCATGTCGCAAAAAGTTTTCATAGACTTTGATCACAAAAACGATTCGAAAGATTTCTACAGATTTTCAAGGTTTTTATGCGTTTTTCAGATTTTAACACAGCTAGATTAGAATCAGTGAAATTTTTACCTTATATTCAAAAAATTTCAGCAGTCTTTGCATGAGAATTCGCAAAAAAATTTTAAAAATATTAAACTGATTTTGGGAAAATCAAAGGGCTTCTAATACATCAAACAAATTGCTGATCTCAGAGGGGTTTTTTAATATTGTAAAAGCTTCTATTATGGGAAAGGGCTTAAAAAAAGACCTAAAAATCAAGAAAAATCAGAATTTTTCTGGTTAAATCATCTTGAGGATGTGGGTGTGAATGAAGAAACAGAAGGCACCCACACCCTCAAGATGGGAATATTCACAGGATATATTTATTTTTGTGTGTATAGAATAGGCATCGGTTGTATACGGATTGTTTTATATTCATGTTTTATTGGTGTAGATTACAACGAAAGAGGGAATTTTTTTCGCTTTTGTATATATAAGGAACAAAGAAAAAGAAAAAAACTTTGTTGAGAGGGACATACTTTCTTTAAAGGTAAAAGAAATAAAAATACAGAAGGTAAAAAGTAATGAAACGATTGATAAGAAAAAGTAATAACGTTGATAGGTGACGGCGTCTTAGTTTGAAAGAAATGTGAGGAGAACAGAAATATAATATGGCTTCCAACGACGACGTAGATCGAGAGAGAGAGAGAAAGAAAGAAAAAATATGTACAATGAAGTCTCTTTTAAATTTATATTACGATGTTGTAATATTACACACATCTTTATGGTATGGATGTGGGTCTTAGTAGCATCTAATCCATATTCACACCCTCAAGAATTTTCAGGAAATCAAAATGAATAGTGATTTTCTTTTGTTTTAGTGATATAGTAATGTATAATAATCAGCGAAATATTCCAGTCAATGCTACATGGTCACAGACAGGTGTCACTGTCGCTGGAGGAAATCATCAAGGTAAAGAGACTCATCAGCTGTATCATCCGCATGGTTTATTTGTTGACGATGAACAAACAGTTTACATTGCTGATTACACCAATGATCGAATTATCAAATGGGAATTGGGTGCGACAAGTGGACAAGTCGTTGCTGGTGGTAATGGCTACGGAGATCAAAATCATCAATTGAGCCAACCTTCAGATGTCATCGTTGACAAAGAGACAAATAGTCTCATTATATGTGATACTGGCAATCGAAGAGTTGTTCGATGGCCTTCTCAATGTGGAAAAAACGGTGAAACACTGATTTCTAATGTCTTTTGTACTGGTTTAACTATGGACAATGAAGGATCACTTTATGTCGCCGATACGGGACTCAATCAGATACTAAAATATCGAAGAGGTGCAACTCAAGCAGACAGAATTGCATATATTTATGAAGAACAAAATTATCTGGATAAACTATGGAATAGTTCGTCGCTTTTTGTCGACCGAGAACACTCTGTTTATATATCTGACCCTAGTAATCATCGGGTATTGAAATGCAAACATGGCGCAAAACAAGAAATTCTTGTCACTGGTGGTGAAGGAGGAGGCAGTCTTTGGGAATTATATAGTCCTCGAGGAATCGTTGTCGATCAATCGGAGACCATCTACGTGGCTGATGAATTAAACAATCGAATTATGCGTTGGCCTAAAGAAGCAAAACAAGGGAGTGTTATAATTGGTGGAAATGGAAAAGGAGATAGCTTGAACCAATTAAATTATCCTATAGGTTTATCATTCGATCGTTATGGTAATCTCTATGTTGTTGATTCCGATAATTCTCGTGTTCAACGCTTCGACATCGAAGTTCGATGAACTTTGTTTTATCTCGTCTTTTTCCTATTTCAAAACAAATCACAGTAAAATATAAAAAAGCTTTTCAGTGTCAATAGTCTGTAAGGAAATATGTCTATCAATGTATGTAAATAAGGGTATAAATTTCTTTTACATTCTTATTTCACTCTCATCCATATTATGATTAACATTGTGAGTTTCTATTTTAGAATAGAAAAACAACTGACGATTATTGCTATAACTGATTCTAATTTTACTTATCGATTATAATTATGTTTTTTAATCATCTTCCGGTGGAAGTTATTCATCGAATTTACGATTATTGTGATACAACAACGATATTTTCTGCTCGAGTTACTTGCAAACAGTTACACTCGGCTGCTAATTCTTATAATCAATATGAACTTGACTATAATTATACAACAGCAGATAAGTTATCGATAGTTATTCGTTTGATTCCATTGGAAAACTTTGTTTCAGTGATTTTATCTCGTGGTTACTTTGAAGATACTTGGATATCGGATTTATTATCGCTTATCGACATTCGCAAGTTGAATCGTCTACGTTCAGTAGCTCTTTCTGGTTTAAATGACGATGAATTGGAGCGTATTTTAGAGAGAATAAATTCGAACTTTATTCTCTCACTTGCAATTGATTTCGATGAGAAAAAATGCAATAAAGTATTTGGTATTGTGTCATCAGCGATTGCGCGAATTAATATACGAAAACTTCATTTAAATACAATTGGTTACAATAACAAAAAAATAACATGGCCAACTAACTGCAGTTTAAAATATTTGATTATTGATACTTGCACGGACGATCAGTACCAAATTATAATACACAACCTATCTTATTTAGAAAATCTCTTTGTAGGAAAATTTGTTGATGATTATTATGAAAATGATGAAAACCTCTTATTATCTTCATCATTGAAGTATCTAACTATAGCCGAGATCTCGCTTCCTATGAAAGACATTCAACTTTTGCTTTTAAAAACACCTGGTCTTATCAATCTAAAACTTACTTCGGTCAATCGAGTATTTGACACTCTTTTCAATGGTACGAGTTGGGAAGTATTTATTCGTAATGCTCTGCCTTCGCTAATTAAATTCGAGTTTTTCTTTGAAAGCTGTTTAAGCGAAAAACATTATGATCATAATGGGCGTTGCTATTATCATAAAGAAGATTATATTCACACGAGTCTCAACTCAATTATTCTTCCATTTCGAACGCCATTTTGGCTCGTAGAAAAATGTTGGTTTGTTACTTGTGATTTCACAATAAAATCTGGTGAAATAAGGATCTACACCATGCCTGCAATTGTTATTGAAGATTGGAGTGAATATAGATGCGAATTACTTCCATCAGATAGCGTACCTCACTTTGCGAAACGATCAATCAATAAAACTATCAACACTACTGGAGATAAGGTATTTAGGGTGAGGGCGAGGATGAAATTGATGTGTAAACGTAGCACCGTCATCCTCACTCACGTCACATAACATATATTTTGCTTTTTTTATATAGAAATGCATGATACTGAACCTTAAAGATTGTGGAATCAATTTCACTAGAGTAGCACACATTGCCGATACTTTACAACATGATACGGTGATTTTCAATCTTTTAAACCTTCATATATAACGGATATTTTTCTCTGTACTTAGACAATTACGGAATTAAATCTTGAAACTAATTCCATAGAGCTGGAGGGAGTGAAATATATCACCAATGCCTTACAACACAACAAGGTAATCTTTGGTCTTCTCCATCTTGAGGGTGTGGGCGTGGGTAACAGTAACACATATCTCTCTCACTCTCGCTATCACGTCCACACCCTCAAGATAGCAGTTGGTCCGTAAAAGAAGATGCATAACACAATTAATCACATTCTTTCTTTATCTCTCTTATATCAATATGCTTATGTTTACATAGACACTTACTAGATTGAATCTTGGTCAAAATACATTCGCAGGTGATGGATTAAAACTTATTGCTGATACATTAAAAAGCAATACAGTGGGTGAATTTGTCTTTTTCATCTAATTCAGATTCATATTCTTTTATACATAAAGACACTCAAAGCTATCGAGCTGCCTTTCTGTTATCTCGGACGTGATGGATTGGATTATTTCATCAATGCTCTATATACGAATACGGTAGTTCTATAATTTTGTCATGATCACTGACATACTTATTTTCTTCTTTATACACAGACACTAACCGAACTGAATCTTTATGCGAATGATGTCAAAGTTGATTTGATAAAACAACTTGCTTGTCTTCTATGTAATAAAACAACTGTTAGTCATAGTGTAATTATATCTCTTTTTTATTCATTCTTTCTAATATTCATAGACACTCACTATATTACGTCTTGATGATAATCGAATCGATGCTGTTTCAGCGCAACATCTTGCTGATGCGTTAAAACAAAATAAGGCGAGCGTTAGTTAATCTTCTCGTTTCTCATATTCATTTTGGTCTTTGTCTTCAGACTCTTACTTTTTTGAGTCTAAATCGCAATGAAATTAAAGAAGAAGGCGTAAAATATCTCGCTGATGCCTTACAAACTAATGCGGTGAGTGAACTTTATTTCATTATTACCTCTAATATACTTTTTTTCTTTTAAATACAGACGCTTCGTAAACTTCACCTTGATTGGAATACGATCGGGACTGCTGGAGTACAATATCTTAGTAATGTTGTGCGACAAAACACGGTAAATTTTTATCCATTTTATTCTCTCAATGATTTTCCTATCTTTCATTTAACATAGACACTCACCGAACTCAGTATAGTCTATAACATGATTGGAAACAAGGGAGTTGAAAGCTTGTGCGATGCTCTTCGACACAATAAAGTAATCCACATTATCCTTTTATATATTCAACTTCAGATGGGACTGCGCTGTATATTTTTCTCTTTGTGTAGACACTGACTTCATTGAGTCTTATTAACAATCAAATAGAATTTGTTGGTGCACAACACTTTGCTAAAATTCTACAAAATAATTCGGTAGTTTGTTTAATATTTTTAAATCTTTCGAACTTGTTTCTTTTTCTACAAATAGACAATCACCAAAATCGAACTTGGAGCAAACTTGATCGGAGACAAAGGTGCGGGGTATCTCGCTGATGTGTTTCGAATTAATTCAGTAATTTGTATCTAAAATCGTTATTTCTTTCATAACTATTTTAATTGGTATGCAGACGATCCTCGAAGTGGACTTAAGACGAAACAGAATCGGAAACAAAGGTGCCGAATTTATTGCTAGTAGTTTACGATACAATAAGGTAAGTCACAGTTTGTCTCCATCTATTTGATATAATTCATCTTTTATACATATAGACAATTACCGAAATAGATTTAAGTGACAATAGAATCGGAGACAATGGAATAGACTATATTATCGATGCCTTACAAGATAACATTGTAATTCTCGCTAGTTTTAAGTCCATCTTATGTTTATTTTCATCATTATATATAGACACTTGAAACAATAAAAATTAACGATAACCCATGCAATTTTGAAAAGAGAAAATACTTATATGACTTCTTGAAAGGAAGGAGTGTGAGTTATATTCTTTCTTTATTTTTCTTATGTTTTTTTTATTATTTTTCTGCAGACAAGTGAAGACGAAACAGATAGCTCCTCGGAAAGCTCATAAGAATTATTAAACGACCATCAAAAGAAAGACAATACTTTTCAAGAGATTCTGTTGTTTTTTTCATTATATACAAATGTCTTTTCTATTTTATTCTTGCTTTTATTTATCCAAAATAAAGTCATACGCATGAAATCATTATTACCTTAAATTTTTAGCTGGATTTTAGGAATAATTTTAACGCATTATGAATAGAGCGCTTTTCACCGATGATTATGAAACATTAATCAGGAATATAGAATTAATTTACAATTTCTATGACCAATATTTATTTATACATCAAGAAATAAAGATTTAGCACATGTTTTCAGCGAATATATACATTTGAAATATCGAGGGTGCTGTTGTTCTTTTCATCCACCCTCACCCACACCTAGAGGCCTGCAGGGCAAGACATTTTAGCAACCTGTACCCTGCCCTGCTCAGCTTTTGTCAACCTGCAACCTTCCATGCCCTGCCCTGCTATACGTTATAAAAAAAACTCTAAAATTTCATATCAATTTGTTATACAATTTTATTTAACTCATTTTAAGTCATAGAGTGAATAAATAAAAAAAACAAAATCACATATCTCGAAAATTTCAGATCATTAACATATCGTCTATAACATCTGGACTTAATGTTCTGTATAATTTTATAGAATATATCGTTAGTATTTAGTGTGAAAAAATTATGACAGGTTGACAGGTTACGACCCTCACACCCTGCAACCTGCCCTGTAAAAATTTCTATAACCTTGTCTTACCGTGCCCTGGCCGGGCAGGGCAGGTTAGCTCAGCCTGTAGGACTCTAGTGCCAACATGTTAGTGAATTGTTGGATACTTTTTCAATGTTTTGATTCTGTACAACTATATACACTTCACAAGATTTATTAAAGCATACCCAAAGTTCTGTTTCGTCTTGATTAGTACATCTTTTTCCATATTTTTGACTGTCGTAAATAAATGTTAGTGAACTTCGATTAGTGGCTGTCCATTCAATATCAGATGTCATAATTTAAATAACATTTAAATATTTATTTCAATATAAAAAATAATTAAATAGCTACTGGTGGTGTGGATGTAAGTGTGGGTGTGGGTGTGAGTTGGCTAGGGCTGAGAAAGATAAAAAACTCACACTTACACCCACACCCACCCTCAAGATGATTTAGGGGAATCACAATTTACGGTAAATGATAAACATCCTGGATCATGTATAAATTTATTATATTATCATACTGAGAATCTGGAAGAAAAATATTCACCTTTATCATTACCTACCATCTCTTATCATAAATGTACCTTGACCATATAAAAATAGTTTTATCGGTGAATTGTTCATGACTCAAAAACTCCTGACTACGCCACTATGTTCACGTATTAAGAACCAATTAAAATATTTTGTTAATTGTATAACAT